ATATTTATTATTATTATTTATTATTATTATTAATATTATTAATATTATTAAATACCGATTGGTACTTTTATAATAATATCCTCTACCATCGTTGATGATAAATAAACATTAATTATTTAATTATCTACCGGCAGAGAAGCTTTTCGTAGGACTCGGAACGATATTAGCGTTTGTTTGTATTGAATTTTTTTTTAATTTATATGTATAATTTTTAACACAATAATAATAATAATAATAATAATAATAATAATAATAAAATCTTACGCCCTAAATAATCGTCTAATATATAATAATAATATATTATTATAATTAAAACGTATTTCTTAATTTTCTTGTTCACACACAATTGTTTAACACATATCATTTGAAAGTTTATTGATAGCAACGTTTTTTGGTTTTGTTTTTTTCCAATCGATTAATCGATATCCCTTCGACGACGTTGATTCATTCATTCATTCCGCGAGCTGTACCTTTTTTTCTCTTCTCATTTTATTTGTATTCATTTATTCTTTATTCTTTCTCTTTTTTTTTTTTTTTGTTAACTTTTACTTTACAGGCTATCGTAAAATGGTTCGAGGTATACGCGGAATCGCGGACTCGATCGTTTACTTGCTTTGTTATTCTTTGTTTTTGTTTAAATATCTTTTTATAGTTTCGTTTAGATATAATATATATATTTGTTTTGTTTTTTTATTTTCTTCTATTATCGAGAGAAAACAACTATCCCGACATCGATGATTCTCCATCGACGATACGAAGAAGAAAGAAGTGGAAGAAGAAGAAGAGCAAAAAACAAAAATAGTAAAAAAAAAATAAGAAAAAAAATTATTAAAAAAGCTAGATAGATAGATATTATCGTTTTCCTTTTAATCCACGAACTCGACATCAATTCTTGTAGTCGGACAATTGGTAATTGAAAATATGTATTTATTAGACATTTCTTTTTGTTCCTTTTTTTTTCTCCAATGAGAGAATCCGAGCAAAACGTTTCGACGTAGATCGATTTTTTAATTTACCAATCAGAGTTTTTCTTTACTTTTTTTTTTCTTATACCATTCGATAGAATATCGATTAATCTGTGTGCGTTATTTTTATTTTCTTTTTTTTTCTTCTCACTCCCCAGTTTCTTCTTTAACGTATTAGAAAAATATTAATAATTAAATATTATTTAAAATATATAAATAATCGTTCGTTTTTTGACGAAGGATAAATTCTTCTTCTACTTCGTTTTTTTTTTGTTTTTTTTTTCTTTTCTCTTTTCTTTTATTAATTATATTAATTTTATATTATCGTTTAACGAAATTTAAACCTTCGCACTCGTAACACGCGTACGTAATTATGTTTGTTTATTTTTTTTTTACCTTAACGTGATTATTTCACTTCGATTTTGACTTCATTTAACGAATACGTTTTGAATAATCGAGATTTTAGAATAACTGACATTTGCTAGTAAAGATTTTGTAAGTTTCTGTTAAATAGTAGTGGTATAAATAGTTGATTAATCTAACAATAAGTTTAGAGATTTGCTTAGAGCGTATAATAATTAATAAATTGATTATTATTAATATTACCATATTGCAAAACTATCTCGAAACTATAGATTTATGTTATATACATTTTATTATTACCCATTGAACATTTAAATAAAAAATTTATTATGAAATTAATTTTTTCATTTACAATAAATCCACTGTCATAATCAACGATACATCTAACAAAAATAAATAATAACTTCTAAAATCACACATTTTTATATATATATATATAAAGATGATAAATTTATTTGTATCGTTCTTAATAAATAAATTAATCTCGGTTGATTTAAGTTAAAACGATGCTTTTTAATTTTGATCGATTATTCGAAAAAGAAAATATTGACTTAACGTAACGAAACGATTGTCAAGAATCCATACATGCATATACATATACATTTATACATAAATGCGCAAATGCACGGTGTTGACCGTCCACCCGCATATTGCAAAATAAATTTTAAGCCGATTCCTGTGTGATAACTATAATAAAAAGCGTACCCACACACCGAGTGCGGAGGATTAAAATAGCGCTAAACAACAGATGAGCATTGATCGGGTAAACGATCGATATTTATTATACTTTACATGCTTTATGTATATATATATTTTATTTTATGTATGTATTTTTAATACCTAATATATAGGTATGGTGTATATGTGTTTTTCTGTATTAATATCATCATTCTATCGAGGTTTCATCTATGAACGATCCGCGTACGCTCGAAACATTTGTTCAATCAATCAGAAAGCGACATTTTATTTTATTCAAAGATTACGCGATCGATTTATTATTATTGAAATTTTTCTTAAATTCGAACTAACTTAAAATAGATTCATCTCGATATTATATTATCATTTCTAATCATTAAGAACAGGTATAATAATATCGCTAAAATCTGTCTCTACTTCGTTTACGATACATTAAGAATTATTTTCCCCCATACTCAGCTACCCCCCCCCCCTGCCCTACTTTTGGCGCCTTTCAAACCCGTTCAACGATAATTACACTTTATTAAGGCTACTTAAAGCGGTTACATGGTTTTCGATCAACTCCATATTCGACTTTTGTTTATTTTTATTTATATTATATATTTTTATCTTTTTTTGTTTGTTTATTTCATTATTATTTCTTTGTTTAATATTATTATTATTTATTCTCATCTATCGTCGTACTACTATATGTATATTGGCGATGTAGCGATAATAATATAATAGTTAGTTTATTAATTGTAATAGTTTAATATTAATAGCAATAGTAGTAATAGTAGTAGTAGTAATAGTAACAGTAGTAGTGATGGTGGTAGTAGTAGTAATAGTAATAGTAGGAAATCTTAGTAATAGTAAATTGTTGATAATAATAATAATAACAATAATAATAATAATAATAACAATAATAATAATAATAATGATAATAATAAATAAGTGACTTTTTATTGTTTTTTTTTTTTTTTTAGTAATAATAACAGTAGTAATAAGTAATCATGATAACATCATTATCATTATTATCTTCACTATTTTTTTTTGTTCGTTAATACGTTATGTTTTGCATGTATGTATGTTATGTATATTTATGTATGTATATATATATTTATGTATATATAATATATACGTGGCTTTCGTCCAGGTTTCTTCGAGCATACGACCAATGAACGTACCTATGTACGGTCCTGAAATGAAATTCTTCTTGATCCTAAAAGGGTAAGCGGATTTTTACTTTTCCTTTCAACTTCTTCTCATTCTTCTTCTTCTTCTTTTTCTTTTCTTTCGTTTCGATATTTTGTCCACTATTCATTTTTCTTCCCTTCTGCTCTTTCTCTTTTTCTCCCTTATTTTTCTAGATTTCAACGTGGTCGTATCGTTATAATTTAAACATTTTATCCCCCCCCCTTTTCCACTTTTCTTTGCTGTCTATTTTTCTCTTTCTCTTTTTATTTCTCCTTTTCATTATCTCTGTTTGTACGAAATTTGATTTACCCATAACAAGAAGAAACACACACGTGGTTCGAATATGTTACTACGCTTACGTTTAGATGTTAAAAAGAAAATACCTGCCAGAAAGATACTTCGATGAATTTCAATGCCGCGAAACCGTTGTTTAATACATTATGCTTTATTATGCGAAGAGAATTTATGTTATATTTTTTTTTATTTTTTTTAATTTTCTTTTTTTGCAAAATTTTTCTTTTTTTAACTCGTACGATTGATTTTTTTTATTCGATATAGCGATTTTATTTTTTCAATCAACGATATTTATATGGAAAATAAAAAAAGTTATTTAAGCAAACGAGAATACGACCGGCGAAGGTGAATACTATTTATCGAAAAAGCCAGCTAGAGAGAGAGAGAGAGAGAGAGAAAGAAAGAGAAAGAGAGATAATTAAAAAAAAAAAAAGAAAAAGTCGCATCGATCATTATCGAGAATTACTGAACGTCAAGAACCTCATTGTCATATCCTCGTTAAAAAGAAAACTATCGAGAGAGTAAAAAAGTTAAAGGCAGAAAAAGTAAGTGAAAAAGAGAGAGAGAAAGAGGGGAGTAAAGAAAGAAAGCAAAAAAAATGATAAAAGTGAAAAAGGGTAGTTCGTAGATTGACGATTGAAAGAACCTTCGTGAAATGACTACGACCACGAGGTTTTAAATAAGAAGAAGTAAGAAGATAGAAGAAGAAGAAGAAGAGTAGTAGAAAGAAGAGGAGGAGGAGGAGGTGAAGGTGAATAGGAAAAAGGCAGGAACCGCTGACGTCACTACGTTTTGCTCTCGTTAAAGCTTGGAAACACGGTTTTAACGTAGTAAGGGCAAACCGTAACGATTCTCGTGTTTTTTGTGATTATTGTTGTTGCTGATATCGTTGTTATTGTTGTTGTTATTATTATTTTTGTTGTTGTTGTTCCTCTCATCGAAGGAAGGAGGAGGATGGTCGCGTTTTGGAAATTGGCCGTAGCCGACGATCCTGGTACAGCAGCCGCGTAAAACGACTTCTTTACTACGTCCTTCTTAAGGACGTATTAGCCACGAAGACTGCGTTCAAGAATAAGAACGAGCATCGTTAATGTTAATACAAAAACGTATCCATTGCTGTTAGACGTCAACGATGGACCCGAATTGCAACCGTCTTGTTGACAGCAATACGTTCTCGTACTCCAAGCCTCTGAAAAAAGAAAATAAAAACGGGAAAAATTGGGAAACTTTTTTATTTTATCAGTTTTATTTTATTTTCATTTGTTTGTTTGTTTGCGACACACGTTTTGAATAATTTTTATCTCGAACAAAATATTAAAATATTAAATGTTAAAATGCTATCAAAAAATTCGTGTATATCTATGTCCTATCGTGAATATCGGTCAAGCGAATGCTATGTATAATATTTAATAAATATGTATTTTTAATATAAAATTAGATTTTACAATTAACTAATTAGATAGAGAAGAATATCTTTTTTTATTTTTTTATTTAGAAATGAATAATGTACATTTATCGGACGCGGTTATTTGATCCTGATAGGTTTCGTATTATAGTATTATATATAGTATATTATATAATATATAATAAAGAATAATAGTATATATAAATAATAACAGTATAATAATATATAAAAAATATATAGTATATGATAGTAAATATAGTAATATTATATGTTATAAAAAATACTATACATAATATAATATATTATAATATTATACTATAACATATTATACTATATTATATATAGTGTAATATATAGGTTTCGTAATGTGAGTAAAATTGTACAATAATATATATATATCCATCCAATATAGAATCTCATTATTTGTACTATATATCATATCAGCTGTTGTAATTTCAATTTTAGAAAAAAAAAAGTAGAAGTTTAATCAATTTTAATTAATCATTAATATCGTCTTTCAATATTTATAATAAAAAATCCATTACGATAAAAGATCATACCCCAAATATACTTTCGTGAAATTATGAACCCTTTAACAAAGAACACGTTTTCTTGATATTAACAAATGAACGCTTTTGCAATAACAATTATTGAAAAAAAATGATTGATCATTTCATTCATTTCAATGAAAAAGATCATTGATAAATTTGCACAGTTAAAAAACCATTTCCCCCGTTTCGTTTTCGTAATTTAAATATAACGAAATTATTTATAACTTGAATTGTGCATTTATGTTTATATCTTGTGTTTATATTTGAACGATGAATATGACATAGTCATTGGATGTAGTTAGACAAGTATCGACCAAGGAATCGATATCTATCTATGTCTCTTTTCGATGTCTATTTACCGTCGGAATGTCATTCGAAGTAGTATACGGATTCCATTCGAAATCCGGATATCGTTTCGTTCTGGCTATTGAAATTCAGACCAGTTCTCTCTTTCTCTCTCTCTCTCTCTTTCTCACTTATTCACTATGTCTCTCTATCTATTCATCTATCGGAATTGCCTGGATAACTGGGACTCAAAAAATTCTTGAATATAAATATTGACTGTATTAAAAATCTCTCGACAATTGGTTTTAAAATAAAAAAATAAAAAAATAAAAAATATTTTATAATACATAAAACGTTATATATGTATTATTATAATGTTTTATTTTATATTCAATTATATTTCAAATTATAATATAATATAAAAAAAATAGAATATATATTATAATTCTTATTTATATATTATATATAAATATATATAAATATTATATAGAAATTTTGTTCAGATATATATATTCTTGATATATATTACAATATAAAATATAGAACATTTATAATTACTATTAATATTAATTATAATAAGAATATCTCTGAACAAAATTTCTATATAATATTAATATATGGTTTTAACAATTTTTGATTATCAAAATTATATTACGAAATTGTTTGAAATATATGTTTTAAATATAAATATTAATTGTATTATATTCAATGATGAAAAAGACTTTATTTAACTATAATGCGTAAAATATTCTTTTATGATTGGTAATATACGAGGAATGTTGTTAAATAATAATGAATTGAAGGTAAGTGTAATAAAATATAAAATGGTTTTAATTTCAATTGCTCTCGTATCCATCGTCGTTTCGATTTAATGTAACTGGAGTTTAGCAAACAGGTAATTTTCTCGTGTGGTTTAGTAGAATGTAAGATAGGTAGTTAAATTTAATTTATCGCAGATATTAATATAAAGAGAAGAGGAAAAGGAAAGATAGAGTAGATAGAGAGAGTGAGTTGAACAAGCATGGTAATCAAGATTTAAGAGAATGGTTAATAACTTCTTACCATGATCAAGATAACGCAGTTTCTTGTAAATTTGTCTTTCTGAAACTTTGGCCCCTTTTACTTGTCATTAAAAAGCGTATATTATAGGGGGACAGGAAATAGGGATCCCTTCCTATGATCCTTAAACAAAATGACAAATTTTCTTCAAGAAATAAACTTAATGGAATAATCCTAAATGGTCATTAAAATAATAATACCACGTTTAGAATATATATTCCTATCCTTTGAAACTATCAACGAGAAGAATCATAAATTATTTGAAATTATTCATTCCAGCTAACTTTGAAATGTAGAATCATGAATTTTGAAATTCGGAAAGTCATTTGGTGAAATGATATTATTTCTGTTATTCCGATTGGATGCATGTGGTAGTTATTATTCGAATATCTTCCATCGGTTATTCCATATATATACTCTATTTGTTATATTGACATTACTAAATTGTTTGCTTATGAAAATATTCTCCATATTTAACGCATATATATATAATGCATAGATAAACGGATGCATATATAAATTCTTGTTTTCTAAAGTAAAGATTTGTGATCTTTGTTTAATATTTTGATCTCGAAGATTTTAGAATTATTATTCTTTCGAAAATAATACTCCTATAATGTTATTAAAAAATATAAAATTGTGGAGAAAGAAAAAATAATACATAGAAAAGATGCGTAAACTTCGAAGTATTGAAGTAATTTAAAAAAAAAAAAGTTATCTCTTTGAGAAAATTAACCTTTAGGAGAAAGAAAAAAACATTGAGATTAAAAAAAAATATGATGAAAGAAAGTTAGTATCCAACCGACTGAAAAAAATATAACATCATCTTATTTTCAAAATACTAACGTGCTAGAAACTAAAGTTCATACTCTTAAGACCGGCGATACATGTAAACGCCTAAATTTTGACCGTTTTTCAGAGGTTTATTTAAAATAGAAGGAATAAATGAATCGTTTTGAAACTCAGCATGTCTATTCATTACATATTAAAATATAAAAATCTGATTTTTTTTTTCAAAATGGCCACCGTAGTAACTAATCTCCTGAGGCCCTCGCGGCGAAACGCATCAATCATGGTGATTTTTAGCTGTAGTTACAACAATCTAAAATTAAAAAAAAGGGTCATAGCGTGTTCATAAAACATGTATCTTCTAGTTAAACTAAGGGAAAACTAAAGAATCAAAAAATCGTAAATTGACACGACTCAGACAAAAAAGTCTGATTTTTGACCCTTTTTTTTTAACGGTTTTTTTTTATTTTAGATGTATCGCCGGCCTTAAAAGAAGATATTTTTTGAAAATAAGTAAAACTTACACAAACGTGGCTTTTTGACATTACGGTGTATCAGGAAAATGTTAATAAATAAATTTTAATATAATACTTACACAAATGCATGTTATAATCTTTCTCTTAATTTTTTTTTACCAAGATAACCGCAAAGAATAAAAAATTTGTTTAAATTTGTTCTTTTTTTTTTATTCTTAAAATCGTGCGTTCGTTAAAAGCTTGAAGAAGAACATTTGGATCAAAGCTTTTAACGCATTTAACTTTCTCATTTTCTGTATTTCACTCTCTCTTGCTCTTGGTATTTACTTTCTGCGGGGAATCCTTGTAAAGAATTGGAAAAAAAAGGGGGTAGGATTATATGCGGGCAGAACATGATCAGAAATCAATGATAACCATTCGTCGATGTTCGAGCAATATCGGCCATTTCGAACGTATGATACCAATAAAGAAAGAAAGAAAACGTATTCAAGCTACCGCTTTAGAAAATTTACGAGCTAATCGCAAAAAAATTCTATCCTTCGCATGAGAACATTTTTGGAGAGATGAAGGAAGCTTCTACCACACACACACACACACACACAAACACACACACACATGCACACACAAAAAATATAATTCCATTTTGCTGATATAGATCTTGCTGATTTAGCAAAGATAACGTCATTTGGGTTTGATATCTTGAGAAATTACGAATGATTTATTCCCGGTTGAGTAATTAGGACTTTTTATAATTTAAAATATTTTATTTTTATTGCTATTGTTAGTTTAGGAATTATAATGTTGTTAATTTAATTTATAATAAGATTGTATCAATATTTAATTTGTATTTGTTATTTTCATAGAACATAAAATTTTGCTAATAAGGATAATAAAAAGATTTAATTTATTATTTCGTTGTTTTAGTTATATGAAACTTTCAGATAAAATTTGAGGAATAAAATAATATAAAAAAATATTGTTAATATAATTTATAAGTATATCAATAATTATTAATACTCGTTGTTTTTATAACTAATAAGTTTCATATTAAGTTTAACGAGTATAATTAAATAAAATAATAAATGTTATAAATTAAATAAAGGAATTATACGTTATTTTGGCATTTAAGGAAAAGAAAATTTTTGTTTAAAAAAAATTTCGAATAACGTCATATTATATTTACTCTCGAACGAAATTATGCTACTTGAAAGTTGCCTCAAACAAAAATTTCATGCTAGTTTTTTTTCGAACACCAAGGTGACGGTGTAATACCTTTAAAAGACTTTCGATATTTATTAGAATGACTTGAGTAATAATTTTCGCAGTTAAGTAGGAAAAGATCGGATGTAAGAAAAAAAAAAGAATTAAGAAAAATGGAAAGAGGTCAAAAAAAGGGAACACACGTGAGTTAGATATAATAAATCTGCTTACGTTCGTGAATTTTCGTTGGTACGCCACGATACTACTCGTAATGTACATTCTAAACTACTGCCATCAAGTATACACATACATATATATATGTGTATACGTCTTCAACGTAACACAGTCACTTTATCCTTTGCACCTGTGCCCTTCTATCCTCTTTTATCTATTTCACGTGCAATATATATAAGAACACGTTCTTCCCTTTTCTCGATAGGATGCGACAAGTTTTCCTGTGACTTGTAAAAATTTTAAATTTGGTAATACCAGGTCTAGATCGCGTTTCTCGAACCTTTTGGGAAATTTGTTCGAATGTTTGAAACAAAAAAATAAATTTTTTCTTTTCTTTTCTCTACAAATTCTTTCATTTCCAATTAACTTTAACAAGTTGTAGAAGAGATGAGAAATGAAGACATGAAAAATAAAACCTATTCATATAATTATGGTCAACATTATTTGTTATAATGTTTTAACATTTATTATTTATTGAAACAATTTCATTATTATTATTATTATTATTATTATTATTATTATATGTAATGAAAAGTTGTAACCTAGTACACAAAATGTTTATTATTCAATTACATTGAATTTATTTAAATATTTTTTATTAAAGTTTTATTAGAAATGGAGTTTCTAAGTTCTACGTAATCCCATAAGGTATTACTGACTATATCAAATCTAACATGAAACAATGAGGCTAAAACGTATTTCAGTCTTAGCGAGTTTGGTTTAACGTTTTTCTAGAAAATTCTTCATACTGTCTGAAAACCGTTATATACGATTAAACCCCTAATACACACATAAACGTGTTTGATATATATATGTGCAAACTTTCATAAATACTTTAACGTAGTTGGATAGTTATCTAAAGTATCCATGTTCTCGTGTATATACCCATGTATATATGTATATTTTATGTATATATATAGTATGTACATGTATATAACATACCAATGAGACAAAATTTGGATTAGAAAAGTTTCATATAAATTTTGTAGACGTTTTTTTAAAAATCCATTTTGTCAACTAGAAATGACAGATACGTTGGATTAGTTTAGTTTAATCGTATTATACACATATACCATAAAATATATATATGATACAAAACGTTAAATGATTTGTGACGTCCGAAATTTTATGGATTCGTGTAGGGATAGAGAAAGCTTTTTAAGGATTATCTTTCAATGAATATCAAAACAAGTATATATTATATTAACGTCAATAATGTTACGTAAGTAAAAATATTCGAAAAATAAATCTACATCGAATAAAATGATCTATTTGTTCTTTTATTATTTTTGTTATAATAGATTACTACTACTATTACAAAAGAAAAAGTTTATAAATGTAACGTATCCTGCGAAGGATAATACTACGTTTAGAAAATGAAGTAAAGGAAACAAATAACATTAAAAAAATTCGAACAAAAAGTAAAGAATTAAGTACAAAAGGGGAAAACAAGCTGCTGCCAAGAAAGTTTCAACGTTCTGTTATGGATGTCGACGGGTGAGAGAAATTTTTCGCTACATTAGTTTCACCCTATTTGAGTGACGTTCGAAAAAATTTGTATTATAAAAAACTTTGCAAGAAATAAAGAAAGAGATAAAGAGAAAAAGATTAAGTCCTTTCTCTTGATCAAAATCACTTTTGTACAATACGTTTACGTGATCCAAAAAAAAAAAAAACATTTTTTCCAATTTGGTATTTTGTCCTTTTATTTTTATTTTCGTTTTTTCAATTTTTGAGTTAGAAAGATTTTGTGAAAATAAAAGAAACCAAAAAAGACAAATGTACTACGATTCCTTTCGTATTTTATTTAGTTTGCCCTTTTTTCCCTTTTCGTTTACTTATCACGCGAAAGTTACGTGCAACAAGAAAACATAGGTAGCAAATCATTCTGTTTTGGTTTCGTTTGGTCACGGAGTTCGTGAGGAAGAGAAGAATGTGAAAACGGTATAAGATACATGCGTGTTGACGACACCGACAAGAAAAATAAAATGGAAATAAAAGATGTTTGTGCGATCTAACACACTTAGTCTTTTTTTTTTTTTATTTCTTTTTTGTTTACGATAGTGCACACGGAATTTTTCGTTCGCAAAAGAAAATGGATTTCTTCGAGAGAGAATTTTTCCCGTTCCATGAGTATAATTTACAGTATATATATATATAGTGTAGTGATCGTAAAAAGTAAGAAGATTATGAAGAAAAATTTGATTAAAGATTGAATTGCAAAAGAGGTGGGATTTATAAATTAATTTATATGATCTTTTTCATAATCCAAGATAAATGAAAGATCGAATTTCTTTTTTTTTTTTTGAATTTATAAAAAAAATTTTTCATTTAATTTAATTACGAAAGTAAATTTTAATCGTAAAATATATTTTTTCTCCCCTACTTTTTTAATTACCTACGTTTATTCGTTAAAATTATTTTCATTACTTTTTTGGATTCAAAAAAAAAACGTGTTATTAAAAATAATTTTAAAAAAAGTTATAGAGCTTACCTTTTTCCGTGCACGTTTCGACGCAATCTCGTACCGTCGAACCTTCGCTTACGTATTTCTGTAATAAAAATAAAAAAATAAGTTAAGAAAGTAGTTTCGTACAGTTAAATAGTTTTAACATATTCATATATATTTTATTTCTTTGATTAACATAAATGAAAAAATGTGTGAAATGTTCGCAAACACATCGTGGATATTCATTCTTTCTCTTCGATCATACGAAAAAAAAAAGGGATTTCAAAATTACGAATTAGGTTGAAACGACTTGTGAAATGTTTTTAAGCTTAAGAGAAATACACGTTAGAGAAAAATACGGTGACGATATTGGTAACAACGGTAGTACACGGACGACGAATTTATACGACGTTATAAAACGAAAGAGGTTGGTGCGAACGTGTGTTTGCGAACTATAAATTGAAATGTCTTTTTTTTTTCTTTCTAACTTTCCAGTGAGAACAAAATCTTAATATGAATGAATGTTTATGCATATTTATAGCCTTTTTTTCTCTGTTTATGTTCTTCTATAAACAAATTAAACGATAAATGACCATACCGAAAAAAATAAAAAATAAATAAAACACTAAAAGTAAGTATTTAAAATTAAATATAAATTCAAAGGACAGTTATATCATAAATTAAATTAATTAAATCAGGAACGTATTACGAAAATCTTATTGTTCGTATAAAAAAAAAAAAAAACATTCTTTCGTACACGTAAATCCTATTATTCCTTTTAAATATTTGCAAAACAACCACAGATGATATATATCATCAAAAAAAAAAACGAGATCGAATTCTTTTATGTAAAAATTTGTAAATTTAAAGGTCGTATACTATCCTATTTAGTCCCACAAAGAACAAAATAATTCCCTTCGTGGGAAAACTCGACGTGATCTTTCGAGAATAGTTATTTGATCAGAATCACCAACGAGCCGTGATTTCAATTATGAATTTTCTTCCTGTGCTTTACAATTTATTCTCTCTCTTTCTCTCTTTCTCTTTTGCTATCCTTCTATTTCTCTCTTGAGAATTAGATTCTATTTCGTTCCTTGTTTTCTCTCTGTCTCTCTTTCTCTTTCTCTTTCTCGTGCAAAATGGCACGGTCCTCTTTAAAGAACCTCTCTCTCTCTCTCTCTCTCGTTTGAGAAATTCTCTTCTCATCGGCTCGTGATCGTTTCGAAACAAACACTACTTGTTAGTTAAAACTCACCCCTTTTCATTGTTATCAGTCTTTTGACAAAATTCATTCCTCTTATTCTAATATCCATTTATCTCGAAATGTAATTATGAGAAATATGAAAATCATACGGATAAATAAATTCAAATAAAATGTTTTTTTCTTGATCTGCAATAATTCCAATTACATTAACACAGTTAACTTTCATATAAACTTGAATTTTTAAAAGGCATTATAATTAATATTGCGAAAATTTATTTATAAAATGTATCGTTAAATTAAATATGGAATGTTGTATGAATTTATTAGAATAATAATTTATAATATACGCCTATAATTGAATTTATTTATTGTACGTACTTTTGACAATGATATTTTACAATTTTTAATGAGGTAGAGCTTAGAAAATCAAATTGAACGTGTATTATTTTTATAAAATATAATTCTCATATATATAACATGCATACAATATTATTATATATAACTCATTATTATTATATATAATTTAGTATTATAATTTATTTATTATTATTATTATTATTATTATTATTATTATTATTATTATTATTATATATATATATTATATACAATAATATATTATATATATAGCATACACAATATTATTTTATATATATTATTAATACAACATTAACTTCATTATATTATATATGAAATGTTTGATAAAAGAAACAAATAAAAATAGATAAAAACATTTTTGAATACGATTAGTACATAAAAGAGAATTATGGATAAGTCGAAATTTTTATCGAAGTAAGACTATAGTAGTCGAATTTGAAATTCATCGAAATAGTATATGGACCATACGTAGACACGCCTAAAGATCGATATTTCCCGATTATGACGCCCTCGGGACGTCGTACATATTAAACCCTCTATCTCTTTGCTATTCCGTGCATATTAAACTTCCTCTTCTTCTTTATCTCTATATTTCTTCTTTGCTGATCCATCAGTAATTCCACATTGTCGAGTCTCTCTCTCTCTCTCTCTTTCTCTCTTTCTGTTTTTTTTTCGTTCTTTTTCTTTCTATTTTTCTCTCTTTTCAAAACTTGCATACGATGACACCGGTCGGAAGTTGAAACTCCGAACAAGTTACAATCGATAAAACGTCAATTTCGATCTTTTGGCTAATAGTCTCGAAAAACTTTCCGATTCCGATAAATTAGTGCTCAAGTTTTGTAACATCGAAAATAAAGTAGAGAATAAAATTGTGCGGAGACTGTAAAATCTTTCTTTTCGAAATTTCAACTATTTGACATCATCTTCTTTTTCTTTTGGTTAGTTAAGAAAAAAAGTAAACACATCAATCCTTATCAACAACTTTGACTGATGATTTTGAACAACTTTTTTTTCGAAATAATTAATAACAACTTGTGATATATAATTCATTAAAAAAAAACAAGAAGTGTATATTACTACTAATTGCAAAATTATTTTTAATATGAAATTTCGTTGATTTCTAAGGCTTTTCGATTTTACGAACTTGCTTGAAATATATTCGCGAATCGATGACCTACCTTCTATTGGAATGACGTGATATCTTCTCCCCTCCCCCACCCCTTTCTCTTTCTCTCTCTCTTTACTGTCAATATAAAATCTTGTTACGATATTTCAATTTTACATCGGTACATATGAATATATATATTTGAAACGATATGTGGAAAGTTTCCTTTCTATTCGAATTCTCACTTTCTATACTGTTCATTATCAAGGACAAAGAATATCCTATCAATGCATTTCTAAAGTTGAATAAGTCGTTAACGGATTACACTTTGTTCAATATCTAACATTGTAATCAATTATATTTCTCATTAGAAACTATTTTTAAAAATGACTATTAAAACTAGATATTTCTTTTATTAAACGTACCAAACTATTTTTGAAGTTAGAGTATAGGGTTGTTAATTCACTTTTCGCATATTTTTTTCATGGTTTTTATTTTCTCCAAGAAAAATGTCTCTTTCTAAAGATAGTAATCCGATCGTTTATTCCGGTATACGTTCTTACACTCGAAAGATTCCATCGGCAAATAATCTCATTCAATTTCCGGATATCGATTTGAAACACCTGTCGCCATTATCATTTTTTATCTTCGCTTAGTAAAAATATTGTTAAAAATTTTCTCGTATGTTTATTAAATTAAATAATGATTTACAAAATTTTTATAAAAAATTTTTAATATTGAAAAACGTTACCCCATGTATTAAACCAATTAGGTGTAACATTATTTTTATCTCGATATGATCTACTAAACCGTAAATAAAAAAAAATAATTAATATAATGATAATTAAAAATAAATGTAATTATTTATTAAAAAAAAAAAAAAAAAATATTAAAGTATTGAGGTCTTCTTTTGTACGATACGATTCATAATATGGTTCCATCATGCTTATTTATTGTATTAATTAATTTTAGTTAAAATTAGAGCGTAGTATATATTCGAGTGGTTTTTGTATAGGATAGTATTACGCCTCCGGCAATGCAGAGTAATAAGTACTTACTTACGTTAACGCGCTTATGTCATTTTAAAAGGTTAAAGGTGTCACCGGGAATTTATTGAAAAGAAAATTAATGATTAGAATTGAAAGAATTATTTCAATAGAAATTTTATTGGAAATTCATAATATTAAAAATGATTATATAGTATTATGAACATTAATCACAAGTTGAAAAATGTTTTTACAATTTTAATCATTTTTCATTTGTCAGCTAATTATAAAATGCATCTCCCAATTTAATTTCATCATATAAGATTATTATTATTAAATTATATATATATATATATCATTAAATTTCAAATATTTGCCAAATTCATTTTTTAAACGTAATCTCATTTTTTTAGATAAAAATAAAAATTTTACGATAGTTCTACGTGCAAAAGAGTATTTTTCATTGCTTTCTTTTGCTCTTACTTTTGTTCTAAATCTTTGTTCTTGATGGGATTTTAAAGAGCGACCTCGTTTTCTTGATTTAAACGTCGATTTTATTATTCGATCAATTTAGGTACTAAAAGACAATAGTATTCATCGATAGATTTATCTGTAAAGAAATCGTCAAGTGTGTACGTACTTTGAAATTTAAAACACTCTTTCAATGAACTTCAAATCTCTATTTTGAAAATTATTCCTAACCTTACTTTTCAACTTCTCAATACTTCACTCGATAGTACTCGAAGTACATTGACATTTGATCTTTTAAAGGTACGCGTGAAAAAAAAAATACTTATACGTATAATAGATTTTACTTAATAGAGGAGGTAAATTTACAAAAGGAGAAAAAGTCCATAAATCGATCACAAATAGTTTTCAGTCAATATTACAAAAATAAATCTTTTCTTGAAATCAATTACAAATATATATTCCTGATTTTTAAAATGACGAATAAAAAGATTTATTCCAAATCTCATTTATATAAATCTTCCTTTTGAAAGATTAATAATTACAAATATGTATAATATATTTCTTGATATTATTATTAGTAATTTATTAAGAGTTTCAAAATATGGCGGATAAAGTACTTGATTAAAATCTTACGTTATTCTCTTATATAATCAAATTTATTATCCGTTAAGACACGATACTCTCTCATTGTCAAGCATCCTCCTTACCCCATCACCCTCTCAACCAACCCCTTCCCCGATCCTTCACATCGACAAACGAAGAACGTTTTACGAAGAAATTACGCATCGAAGCGAATAAAGTTCTTCCCTTTTCCGCTCGATTGTCGCGATAAAGAGATTTCGAGCTTGAACGAACCTAACCTATCACCGATCGAGACTTTTTTCTTCGTTTTATATCGTATACAGTACTTTTTTATGTGTGTGTTCGTGTTCTCGCCGCAAATACTCAGCCGAGAAGGCAAA